TCTCTTTCTACTTTTGCCTTGAGGATCTCCACAGTTAATGAAGGAAATGAAATTCTGGTAGAATTGTAAAAATGTACAACTACTGGGAATCCACACTATATAACTGTTGTTGATTCAACAGGCGTTGCACAAATGACTACAGGCCAGAAGTAACCCATGCTTTTGTCGGGGTCGACAGTATACTGAAGCTTTTTGGAGCCATTTTCCTGAAAGAAACTGATGGGAAGTAAACAGAGACTATCTGGTAATTTCTGTGTCTCTGGTTTTGCCTATACAGGCATGATCTTTATTTACTATCAGTGACATATGTAGCTGCTTCTCTGCTCGGTTCCATCTGCAGTAGTATTCAGCTGTTACATCATTATGTCCAAAAGACTTTATTCTAGTGACAGTGTAGCCTATACTAATAAGTCTGTGCAGTCTTTTCAAGGTGACTACCTGGAACGCCAATCACTGGAGCTTTGAACCTATTGCATTTATCACTTAAATCTGCCCTCCAGTAGGTGGCATGGTTTTATCTTCCTTTGTCTCCTGCCATGAAATAAGGTAGGTTTACATGAAAAATCAGAGGTTCTTCCTAACCTTTGAAGCTACTGGTTTAATGTGTTAGGATTTTTTACATATAAAGTAACTTTCTGACAATTTTTATGATCAAAACGGCAATATTTTCCAAGTAAAGTGATAGAGTATTTTCTTATATTTGTAGTGACTGTATTCATTAACGTAATGTCTTTCATGAGATGATGCTGAATGCTTTATAAAGCAAGCCTCCCTAAAAGCAGCAGCAGACTACAGAATGAAAAGATATTCCAAAAACGATCCCAGACCGTAAGCACTGACATAGTAGTAAAGCCTGTTGCATGAATATGGAAGCTGTTTTTCTGCTCTCACTAAGAAAGATGTGTATTTTGAAGGTGGGTGAAATAATGTAGACCAAGTTTACACCCTACTTTTTTTTTTTTAAATCCGTATTGGCACCTAATGCAAGGTGACATGGATCACATTATCAGCATCATTTCTGTAGCAGCAGGTTGAGCTCTCACAAGTGAGACTGCCTTCAGTGAAGGGTTAGGAGGGAACTGAAAAGGTGGTGAGATGTCCAATAGGAAACCAGTGTTTTTCAGTAACTGTCCATAGTAGAAATATATATGATTATAAAATAAATTCTACTGTAGTAGAATCAGACTATCACAGACTATTACAGCTCTCCCACATTCTGACCTTGTAGGGGAACTTCTAAAGTTAACACAGTTCTTTGGCTATATGTTTTTCCAAACACATACAGGAAATATTTTTCATAATTGCACATTACTGAATGTAATTCTAGAAATTGCCAATGTTCTTTTGCTTCTGAAAAGTGAATTGCAAACCAAAACCCAAATCCCTGAAACCTTTTTGTCCTTGTGTGAATAGTTCATATTTAGATGCTGTGCTGAATTTGAATCCTGACAAATTTATATATTTGACTGTTATACTCACATACCAGGGTTTTCATGTTCTGACGTGGACAGTGGAGTCCTTCTTGAGCTTCCAGTCACTGACATTGCATCTTTTATTTCCTATCACCTGGGACTGAGGTTGTAAAATTCTCACGATCCTCCTATTCTTTGCTTTTTTACTAGCTGTGCTGTCACATTTTGCTCTCTGCCAACACAATATTTCTTCTTACTTTTAATATCAGTAGGTCATAATTAGTGATGTCTCTTGATACAGGCTCATTGTAGTGGAGAGGAGACATGAGTGTCACTATATGTGGTAGCTTCTCTTAGAAAGTAAGGGTGCTGCAGGAAAAAAAAAATTGTAGTTGTATTGTCATCTGGTAAAATGTTCCATTTTTGGAAAAATTATGCATCTTTGAGACATAGTATCATCCACCTAATTCTTTCCTTGCTTTCTGTTGAAAAGAATGGTGGGAAAATTTACTAGAAATGCTCAATAGTCCTTTTCATATTGATAATTTTACATAAGTTTCAGAAGCTCTGTGCAGCATAAAAATTAACAATAATTGAAACAATGAAATTATAAATTCATCTGCTCGGTGACAAGTCCGAGACAGTATTTTTCTTCCAAATTAAATTGCAGCATGAAATAAAAAGTTTCATTTGAAGTCTCCCTTCCTCTGGTCTTGCAAAATGGTGTGGTGCTAGAGCCAATCAATAGTTCTTTACTATATTGTAAGTATAGTAATAGTTCTTTACTATGTTGGAAAAATCTTCATGCTGTAAAAGAGCAAGGTCCTTGGTTTCCATTAGCTTTGGGGCATTAGGAGCTATGATGGGATTTGGTCTATTAATTATTTACTTCCTGTTATGATTTTTCAAGTGGTATTTTATTATTTAACAATTTAACATAACAAAATTGTGTATGTTCTCTATGTAAGTTTGTGCATCTATGTCAGGTATAGAATGAAGCACAGGGAAAGAAGTTTTCAGGATGCTTGCAGAAGTTGTTCTATGAAATGTGGACAGACATCTTGTTCTCAGTGGTTTTGGAGAATAGCATTTAATGACAAAAAATATGCTTTGCTCTCAGAAATAGGTGTAGCATGTTGGCAATGAAATAAAATTAAACTAGCTTTAAAAATGCCATTGTAAATTGTGATATGAAGAGTGGCAGAATAAAACTGGAAATAAGTTGAATCCCCACCTACTTGTATTTCAGATCAGCCGTTCCAGTTACATAATGTAGTTTAGCACACATTGTCAAAAGTTGAAAGTCTCATCTAGCCGTAAAGGGAGGAAAAACCCCCAACCCACTAATACCTTTTTTTCTTGAAGGTGCAGATTTACATTCACACACAGAGTGTTCATTGTAGAGTGAAAACCTCAACAGCATACAGATCGTAGCATGTCTCTAGTTTTTCCCCTTGTGAGTAGTCACAAAAGCATATAAATCTTTGCAGGATTAACACCAGCAAAAAAGTTATGACAAAAATAGAGCCATGCATAGTATGTAAGAAAATACTGAATTTGTGAGTACACCTTCTACTGGAATTAATTTTCGTCTCTTCTCTTTAACTAGCAAGATACACTGCACAACGCAGAGGAGCATTCATTAAAGTTTTCACTAGAATTTTATTTCCTTAACATTACAGATAAGTGGATTAACGGTTTGAATTGTCTGATCCAATACATGCCTTTTGCGCTTCTCTCCTCAAAATAAAAGGTTGGATGAACTCTAGGGTTTCTGAAAGAATGTTTGCTGGACTTCAACTACGGTGTTTGCCAAGTGGAAGTAAACCAACATTAATGTGTTTGGAGATCCAAGCTGATTCTAAACAATTTCTATTCCACTGCAGTGACATCTATTTTGGTTTTCTTTTATTTCAATTTATTTTTGAGCATTCCACATTGTCCTGGGTTTGGCTGGGATAGAGTTAATTTTCACAGGACAGCTGACCTGAACTAGCCAAGGGGATATTCCATACCATGTGATATCATTCTCAGTATAGAGGTGGTATTGCACCAGGGGAGATGGTGGAGTGTCAGGTTGTGGTGAGCAATTGCACTGTGCATCACTTGTTTTGTATATTCTTTTATTACTGCTATTATTGTAACTTCTCTCCTTGTGTTGTCCCAGTAGACTGTCCTTATCTTAACCCATGAAGTTCTACCTTCTTCCTTCCCCCCCCCCCCCCCTTCCTGATTCTCCTCCCCATCCCACCGGAGGGGGCAGGGGGCATTGGGGCAGGAGGGGGTGTGGAGTGAGGGAGCGGCCTTCTGGGCTTAAACCACAACACATGCGATGCCTGTTTGGTTCGATATTGTTTAGATTTTAAGGTGTTTAAGACTCTTGCACTTCTGTTTTAGTTAACTAATAAGTTTGCTTAACCAAATGATAGTTTGTTTCATAGAACAATGTCAACTCTTACCTGTCTCCGTACACATCATTTGCTGTATTTATTGATGTTTCAGGCACTTAAATAATTTGTAAATTTCTTTCATCAGAAGAAAAAGGTGTCTTTCTACAAACGGGCACAAATACTTGTGGCTGATACGTGGAGTGTATTGGAAGGCAAAGGAGATGGCTCTTTTGATGACATTTCTAGTCTGACTATATTTGCTGACTACAGAATTCCTCAAGTTCTTGTTCACTTAAAAGCAATGAAGTATTCTGAAGAACTAATGAAGAAACTACGTGAAGGTTTGTTCCTCCCTTACTAATATCAAGTAATCGTACCTCTTGACGCTGTAGACTAAAGCTACTTTTAAAATTTAATGTTTTGTTCCTGTAAGGGTTATGCGTGGGGTTTTTTGCTCCAGGGAGCAAGAAATTCTTACATAGTGATGAGGTAACAGGAAGGAACTTACTCTCTAACAGTGATCTTGAATGAGATCTTAAGGTTTACAAAGATCTAACTGTTGGATTAAATATTGATAAGGGAAGGATTAAAGAGACTAAGCCAGTTGGTCTCTTGAGTTTCTGAAGGTCTGCTGTTGCCAAAAACACTTTACAGTATTAGTATAGTGGTGATTTTTGAGGTTTATATATAAAAGAAGGAACAATTTCTTCATTAGTTCAAAGATGATGTAGAAGCATGGGGATTCGTCTTTATCTGTACTTAACTGCTAGTGACAAGCAAGGTAATATTATAAGCATCCATTAAAAAAAAAAAAGAAAAAAGATTGCTTTAAATGAAGTTAATTGCCTAAGACTACAGTCTCGTTTTTAAGCATGGTTCCATCTTCCGGTACTTGTTAACTATGAACTTCAGTGAATAAAAACATAAACCAATCCCTTCTCTACTGTAAAATCACTGTATTTAGAGGTAGGACTGCTGTTACACAATTATAAATTACACAGCAAGATAAACAGATGAATGCAATTATTCATCAATCTTAACAGAAAGGCCATATATATGCATGCCTAAATATATTAAACAGATCATGTAGACAATTTCTCTTTTTTTCCATGAATCCTAGTAAGGACATTCCTATCCAAGTCATTCAAACAAACGGGTCCCTTCATATTTTTTATATATATATATATATGTGTGTGTATGTGTATGTATATATATATTTATATAGGGGTTTTTGGTTTTGTTTGGTTTTTTTTTTAATTTTTAGATCTTAGTGTATTTTCTGCCAGGATAATTCTGTCTCGGAATTATGTTTGACTAGCCTTTTAGGCTCCACAGGCAAAGAAATAGTCATATAATGTGCAGTATAACCCAAACACCTGTTCTTTTCTTAAACCACTGTCTCAGAATACAGAATGTTGTTTTAATTGAAAGGGAGGTAAACTTGTAAGTGCAGATGGTAAAATTAAAGTAATTGTTAGAAAACGTATGACAACATTTTTAGCAGTTGTAGTGTAAGTTGTGAAAACTGCAGTCCTAGAATAGACTAAAGAGGGGGGGGAGGCAAATTCAGGCCATCCTGTGTCTTCTGTTTCTTGAATGTAATTGGATTACTGTTGTGTCCTGCAGGAACAGTTTTCCACTCTGGAGATAGAGAGGAGGTGGAGATCCGTGGCTGTTCCATTTGGTGTTGTGCATTGATTTGTAAGCACCTGCTGGAGCTCTATGAGAAGAAGGGTCAGGACATGCGTGAAAAGATCAATGCGGTTTTACTCGATTACCATCTCTGGGACTATGCCAGGGATCATAGGGAAGAGATGAAAGATATTCCGTTTCACCGAGTACGATGTATATATTACTAAGTCCAGTCTGATAGCTGTCGTGCTGATGCGTTATCTCTTGAATTGCAGTTGTTCTTTTCATACAGTGGTTTGTCATATACTGGTTTGGAACGGGCTAAACCAAATGCTCATTTTCGGCTGATGTATTAACAACTTGTGCTTTTTTTTTCTTTTCCCTTTGAATCTTTCACTCTCCATGACTGGCATTAATGGTGTAAACTTTGCTGGACAATCCTCGTTAGTACAGGGTGTACTACTCCCGCGTTAAGGTCCGTGTTTGTGTGCGTACGTGTACTTGCACAGGTAGATGTGCGTATGGCCGTGTCTGCATCCCAGCCCTCCGGGCCGCTGGACCTGCCCCCCTTCCCCCGTGCTGCCGAGAGCTGCATTGACTCCGAATAAAGCGTGCAGTGACGCCGACCGCACGAGCACCGCTGACTTGTCGGGGGGGGC